GAGAGAGAGAGAGAGAGAGAGAGAGAGAGAGAGAGAGAGAGAATGTCCTTCTTTGCCAGGACAACATTGCAGAAGAATCAACTTAAAAAAGAGGAAGGATTTTGGCTCTCATTTTCTGAGACTCTAGTCTGCGTTCACTGGGCTCCGTTCTTTCTCTGGCTGGGATAATACAGAGCACCACAGTGGGGAGTGTGTGCTGAAACTGTTGTCCTTATGGTATAGGAAGCAGCATGGGAGCAGGGAAGGACAAGATACAGTTCACAAGAGCACACCCCAGGACCCATTCCAAAGTTTCCATCACATATCGAGAGCCCATAGACTTTTGCATGGGCCTTGGGGGCAGGGTCATTCCAGCTCCAAACTGTACTTGTGTACTTACATATTTATGTGTACAGGAAGCTTTTATTTTTATCAAAATGTTAATTTATATGTCTATATAATATTGGGATGGTTATATGTTTACTATAAGAATTTGTGTTTATACAAAAGAAAATCTCTTGCTTGTTGGATAATTAGTAGTAGCCTTTTAAATAATTTATTTGTTTTTAACTTTTTGGTGTTTTACTTATTTTTATTTTATGTGTATGAGTGCTTGCCTGAATATCTGCTTATTCATCGTGTGCCTGCCTGTTGCTATCAAAAGAGGATGCCAGATCCCCTGGGACTGGAGTTGAAGATGGTGAGCTGCCATGTGGATTCTGGGAATTAAACCCAGGTTCTCTGGAAGAAGAGCTAGTTCTCTTAACCCACTGACCCATCTCTCCAGCCCCAGCAGCAATCTTAAAAAAAAAAAATCCTTTGAGACAGAAAGTATATTTTAAATATACTTAAAATTTTAAGTATTTTAGGTACAGTGTGGGAGCCCACAAAGTTTTCCTAGTGAGAGCTGAGCTTGCTTTAAACAGCAAGGCTGCATTAGGGGATGGCTTGACCACATGCATGGTCACCAGGTGTCTGGAATGGTCTGGACTTGGCTATGCTGGGGGGAGGTCTTTTGTTCCACCCCTTGGCATTCCTTTAAAATCCCTTTAGTAGAGACAGAAGGGGCTGGTGGGTTTGGACCAGGCCCTCGCGAGGCTATCCTGTGTTTTCTATCTGTCTCTCTCTCCTCTGTATTTCTATGTACATACTTCTTGTTTCTCCCTGATCAAGAGTACCCTAGGGGTTGCGGGGAGCTCCTCTCCCTCAGTACAGACCTAAATATAACTAATCTCTACAATCTCATTATACTCATTCTATCATTATACATTTATAACTAGTTAAATTTCATCTATATATTTTCCAATTTACTTCTCCAAATTATTTTGAAGCAAATGTACTATTAGACTACCATGTCTGGATTCCTTGAATACAAACAGTATTATATACTGTAGTACAATTTGTTATGAAGATGGTATTAAGTAATTGATGACAGGGTAACATATAAAGTGTGGATATGTTGTACAAAGAGTTAATCTAAGTCCCAGGCAAGACTGGTTGTGGTAGAGTATGATTCTGTCACATTACTACGAAAAGCTTGCAATTTAAAATGTCTTTCTTATTTGTAGAATTTTCCATTTAATATTCTCAGATCTTGTTGAGAGGTCACTAAAATAATAGAACATGAAACTATGCACAAGAACAGAATAGTATATAGGATTTGAATTAGCTTACATTCATTGAATTTTATTATTTTTTTCACTGAGCTTCGTCAATAACATAACGATATGGATATTAAACACATTATGCATATTATGGTCAATGGTGATCATCACAGCAATAGAAATATTTACCAAGACATTTGGATTAACACATGATCCAACATTCTGGAGACTCTCATGTGCAAGCCCTTGCCAAGATATAAGGGAAAGATAGAAAGCTCATGATCCCCTCCGCCTTTCCCTGCATGCTTGCTAGAGACTTCCCATAGTTCGCTAGTTTTCTTCCCTCTAGAAGGCTGGGTGGTTCATCCAAAGAGTGGTCTGTATTTTCAAGATGCCTAAACTTATCTCATCCAGTTCATTTCTGCCTCCATTTCTGCTAAAATGCCATATTTTGTTTTCCCTGGTAAGTTTGAGACAGATGAAAAAATAAAATGCTGTTCATGAGAACAATATCTCACCCCTGCTTTATTGTCAGGGGTGACATCATTCTGGCTGACAGCTTTACTTTGTATGCAAGTGACTAGTTGCCTATTTTTCCTACACAGAAATCAACAAAACAGACAGAAGGTTCACAGAAACATAAATAGTGGGCATCTGTGAGGTGGTGTGTGTTTTAGGAGAAGGGAGCAAAGGATGCCAATGCTCTGATTCAGAAGAATGTTTGACGTGGTACCTGTGTATACTGTTCATGTCTCTATGACATTGAAGCCATAAATAGCCTCAAATGCTCACAGTCCAACAAAGCCACCAGTGGTATAACTGTGCCTCCAGGGTCTACTATAAATACTCTTCTGTGTTTGTACTTGGAAAATAGGGGGAAAAAATCCGTGGCAAACTAAGAGTTTATTTTTTTATAGCAGCCCTGAGCACACAAGGACTAATTGTGTCGTGATTACTGTCTCTACCACATCCAGATACAGCTAAGGCTCAATATGCACTTTAGTTACAAAAACCAGTTCTGCTCATGGCTTGCTGATATGTGTTTATGAGATATATGAAAAATATTTGTTGATTGCTGTAACGAAGTTTCTGCTGCCTGATGCCTTTTATGCTTATATAGCGAATAAGAATGTTTTGTTTACTAGGTAGTTGTTGCCAACTTGACACAAGTTGATGTCATCTGGGAAGAGGAACATCAACCAAGGAGATGCCTCAATCAGACTGCCTAAACAGAGTTCCTCCATGGTCTCTGCTTCAGTTCCTGCCTCCAGGTTCCTTCCTTGAGTTCTTGCCCTGACTTCCCTTGGTGATGGAGTGTGACCTGAAATAAAGCCTTCTTCCCCAAGTTGCTCTTAGTCTTGGTGATCATCACAGGAATAGACATTTGAATTAACACATGATCCATCATTCTGGAGACTCTTATCTGTATGCCCCTACCAAAGACATAAAGCCAATGAGACAAAACCCCATCTGTCTATTGCATTTAAAACACAGTATAAAACCAAATTCTAATCACTCTACTTGTGCAATTGACCACATTGAATTGTTTAGGATGTTGCTTAGGTCCTATAAATCACCCAGAATAACCATCTCATCATTCAATGAGCAATTACAAATTGTCCACATTTCCCTCCTTCAACTGTGGCCCCACCCCTGCCCCATCCCTTCCTTTTCCCCATTTCTAATGCCTGAGACTGCTCTAATATACATCCCAATGCTTCCAACTACCTCTTCCTAGAAAAGTTCTACTGGCCAGGAAAACCAAAGTATTCTACTTGTGTCTATGTTAATGCTAATTATTTTGGAATGCCATTTGTTCATTAGCTAAAAACAATAGAAACTATATATAGGTTTTGGAAAAATAACAGTTTATTGAAAAGTGCAGCCACATCACAAAGGAAACTCTGAGGGGCAGCTCCAAAGAACTCAGCTTCAAGATATGTCAACATTCTGGGACTCAAGTCCAGCCGACTTCTCCTACTGGATTTTTTTTTCTGTCCCAGAACTAAATTCTCAGGCAAAAGAAGGCAGTCAACCTGGTTGGGTTGTATGTACAGCCTGGGGAAGGGTTGGAGAGGTAAGCATCCCTACCATAACCACAGTGAAGTGAGAGAAGGAAGCAACACACTGAAAACCATGTGTGGTGATGTATTGTGTATCCCAATAAGCTTACCTGAGGATCAGAGCACAGAGCCAGCCACTAGATTAAACATAGAGGTCAGGCAGTGGTGGCACACACATTTAATCCCAAGCAAAGGCGTGAGATCTCAAGTGCTGGGATTAAAGGTGCATGTCACCACTGCCTGGCTCTGTTTCTAATCTAGTGGCTGGCTCTGTCCTCTGATCCTCAGGCAAGATTGTTAGAGTACACAATATATCACCACAACCATCACTGCAAACTCCTAAAATCGACTCTGCTGCTTTAAATTTCCCTTGTGTGACGTGAAGATTTACGTTTGGACTTTCTTTCTTTCTTTATTTCCTTCTTTCTTTTCTTTTCTTTCTTTCTTCCTTCCTTTCTTTTTTTCTTCCTTCCTTCCTTTCTTTTCTTTCTTTCTTCCTTCCTTTCTTTTCTTCCTTCCTTTCTTTCTTTTCTTCCTTCCTTCCTTCTTTCTTTCTTCCTTCAGGTTTAATTACCTAGTTTTCAGATGCAGCAATCTTGTGTGATTGGTCTTGATTTGAGTTCTGGACTACGTTTGCCACCCAGATTATCCCACAGTTTCAGAACGAAGCAATCTGATGCCCCCATGGTCTGGGTTGTTGGTAATTCTTCAGCTAAGGCAGCACCATCTGCTGGCTTTGGGATGAATAAACCAAGCAGACACAAACTCAAAAGCTAGAGGAGTGGATCGTCTGCATAGCAGGGCCAGAGACCCTAGAATTCAGGTGTGGTGATTCCCATCCCCGTCATTTCCTATTGCAGGGAACTGTTTTCAATCCAGCATTGGAGAGTCACACAGAAAAGAAAAGCAGTTATTTCCAGGCCTGCAAATTCAGAAGAGTGTGGAAGTGTGTACTTATTGTGGAGGGATAATCACTTGGGAGTATTAATGGTTAGAAAATAGAACAATAGCACTGGTGTTCTATTAGAACTGTGTAATTATTAAGATGGATGGTAGTTTTGAAACGGAAGACTTAAAGGACTTTATAGTTTACATTTTTCCTAACATGTAATGGGCAGGAAGGAGACAAGCAAGAAGATGACAGATGGAGACTGGCAGAACATCAAAGACAGTCAGTCACTGTGAAGAGTAAGCCAGATTACAATTTATTGTGGCTCTGGACAGTGTGGCATCTTCCCTAGATCTGTGACAGCAGCCTCAGCCTCTCTCTCTCTCTCTCTCTCTCTCTCTCTCTCTCTCTCTCCCCCTCGGGAAATGAGGCTTGTTACTGACTCCTTTTCATAGTATAGACTATGCCATGACCCCAAGAACACCTTCTGATTGTTCTCGGATAGAACTGTCTAATTCTACCTAGAAGACCCATTCTTAAGACTTCTCCTTGTTTTTGCAACAACCCAGGTCCCGGGGATAATGGAGTATCATCCCAACTGAAGATAATACAAAATAAATAAATAAATAAATAGGCACAATTTACTCACCTGGGGCTAAATCAAAGAGGGTACCAGAGGGAGAACATCCAAGGCTGTGTTCCTGTGATGAAGTGAAGACTGACTCTCTTTCTCACGAGAGAGAATATCAACAGTACTTAGAGCAGTAACCATGCCTGCACTGTTTTGTATGAGCATCCTGTCATTGTTGATCATCTTTATATTCAAACCAGGGTCCCCACTACACTTAAGTCCTGTCGGCTTATACTGGAAACACTTGCCTCCATACTTCCACAGAATACCACGCAGAGAGTTGCAAACAATACATGTTCTATAAATATTCATTGCTGATAATAAAATGTAAGTTCACAATTTTTATTTTTAAAATCAATTGCATCTTAATGGAAATTACTGATTTACTCTTCAAATCTGCTGTGTTCCCACATGCAAGCTCTTAAGCTTTTTAGGTAAATCCTTGGTACTGATAGAAATATTATTTTAATCTGGATTACCATGAGGCAATTAGATTTGGCACACAGGTTGTTGACACAGAACTGTAAAACTAGAAGAGACCCAAGCTTTGACTCTTTAGCCTATACTGTTCAGGGTAAATAATTGGTATTTTAAACAGTACTATTCACATAGCATGGAAGATTTATTTAATGTGAACATATATTATAAAATGGCTTTGGTTATTTTTATGCAGAACATAAGATACGACTATTTTAGACATCTTTTTAGGCAGCGCCTTAGATCAAGCACATGGACATCCCGTGTTCTTGTTCAGGGACTTTTTCGCTAAGTACCACAAGCTGAATGGCTTAAACAGTTCTGGAAGGGAGACATAAGCACAAAGGTCTAGCAGGTTGCTTTCTTCTGAGAACTCTGAGGGAAATTGTTCTGTCCATCTTTGTCTTAGTCGAGTTAAACTGCTATGAAAATACCATAGACAACATACTATGCCATTCCACATGACAGAAAGGCTGTTGTTTGTTGTTGTTTGGTTCTGGAAGCCAAAGGCAAAGTCAGCATGCTAGTGTGGTCAGGTTCTGACGATTTCCCACTCTTCTGAGTTAGAGACTCAGAAAATTCCTGTCTGCCCCAGGATGGAATGAGGGAGCTCTCTGAGGTTGCTTTCACCAGACACTGATCCCATTCATAAAGATTTAATCCTTGTTACTTAATCCCTTCTAAATATTCCATGGTCGCACGTGTGTTATCACATTGTAGGTTAGGATTTAAACTTGGGGCTTTTCTCGGAGCGTGAACACTATGTTCAGAGTAATATTTCTTGTCTTGCTTTTGTGTGGTTTGCAGGTAAGCCTGGCAGTTCCTTGGCTTGCAGAAGCACTTCCCGCCAGGCCAGCCTTCATCTTCACAAGGAGACTTCCTCTGTGTATGACTATGTCCAAATTTTCCCTTTTGAAGAAAACAGTTGTTCTTCTGTAGGGCTACTTGCTCTACTCCATGACGACCTCATCTGAACTAATTCCATCTAGAATGTCCCAGTCTACAGTCATGTGCTGAGAGTTAGGATTTTGACATAGGAAGGTGCAGACAATAAAATTCAACCTGTAACATGTTCTCGTGGTTTAAAAACTTATTTCTAAATAAATTATTTCTTTGTTGAAATTTTATACTATTTCTCTTTCTCCTCACTTAGAATTGGACTGAATTGACTTCTTGCCTAAGGCAGAAAACAACCCCATTTAATCCATTATTTGCTCCCACCAAAGCAGGCAGGATGGTCATTGTGGTTTGATATTCACTAGGTCCTTGTCTTTTGAGTGAGGCTATGATGGTCTAAAGTCAGGATCCACAGCAGGACATTGCTTCCCTGGCTACTACCCTGGATATAAACCAGGAAAAACCCTGTTCCTGCTATTGAAAGGAGGCAGACCTCAGTCAGTTTTAGTTCTTTGCTAACGAGAGTTGGAAGTCAAATAGTCAGCATCAGGAGAGACACATAGGATCTTCAGGCTAGCTTTCATTCTGAGCTTGTGTTCATTTTTACTATTGAAGGCACTGATTGGTATTACACTGAGTCTGTAGGTTGTTTGGGGCAGTATAGTATAGTAATGGTGACAAAATTTATTCTTGCAATCTACAAGTATAAGACTCTTGCCTTATAGGTGACCCTGATACATACAACCCAGAGTCGTCTGTTGGCATCCCTCTTTCCCCTTATATCTCAGTGCTAGAAATGTCATATTTGGTTGTTAACTCTCAGAAGCCTGTTCTCATGAGAGACAGAGAGGGAGGTGGAGGTGGAGAGGAACTGGGAGGAGTAGAGGGAGGGGAAACTGTAATCGGGATCTATTGTATGAGCAAAGAGTCTATTTTCAGTAAATGGAACACAATTTTAAAAAGAGATACATAAAAGGCCAGGCGGTGGTGGTGCACGCCTTTAATCCCAGCACTCAGGAGGCAGAGCCAGGCGGATCTCTGTGAGTTTGAGGCCAGCCTGGGCTACCAAGTGAGTCCCAGGAAAGGTGCA